TTCCATCCCATAATATATTCATAGAGAAGAAAACTGGCTCGCTTCTCCCTTAAAATCAAATAATTTTGTTACTGTCAGATTCCTTTTTAAAATCTAAGGCTTCATTACCTTTACCAAGTACCACCTCCCAGTGCCTAGCATATTATAAACTGTCTTACATCATGAAGATAAAAGGAGTGTTGCCAACATAAATGACAGAGGTGGAGTCTTTCCTGCCTGGCACGTTGCTCTCTTCCTTGTTGCTTGGCTGGCTCCGACCATGGATTTTGGCGCCGTGGTTACTCGTTGGGCTGCTAACCGCAAAGTCTGCGGTCGAAACCACCAGGTGCTCCATGGGAGAAAGACCAGGCAGAAACTCGCAGGGACAGTTGTACCCTGTCGGAGAGGGTCGCAAGGAGTCACCCTGGACTCAGGTAGAGAGTTAGTTAACTCCCATGAGGACTGGTGCAGTTTGGGTCACAATGGTGTAGCAGAGTGGCCTGCAGTCCCTGCAAACTCCACATCCCAGAAGCCTGTATCCTGCCAGAAAGGTAAAAAGGGGAAATGGAGGCTGCGGGGCGTTGCATCGCTAGTGCACGCCGTGTGGTCTGCGTTGCTGAGACTTGGAATCCATAGAGAGGAGAGGACTGGCTGTTCTGTTCTGTCACTGCTTGGAGGGTGCTGTGTGCTCAGCGTGTGGACGGCAACTCTTGGGACACAAAAGTAGTGACCCTCGTCTTCGGGGAGTTTGCCGTGCAGAAAGGGCACCACACTTCCTGTGGGAAAGGTTCAATGTTAAAACAAACGAACGAGCCATCACCATCGAGTTGATTCCAACACATGGATGACAGAGGCCATGTGCACCAGCTCAGGGTTTCATGAGCTGGAATCTAGTTAACAGTTTTCTTGGCATATAACTTGCATATCATACAATTCAATAGTTCAAGAACATCAAGAAGAGTTGTACCATCATCGCCCAAATCAATTGTAGAACATGTTCTCCCTTCTTGTACTCATCGTTATTAGCTTCCCCCATTGCCCCCCAACTTCCCCTGCCACACCCCCAAGGAACCCTGAATCCAGCTACTGTCTCAAGGGTTACCTGTCCTGGATTTCACATATAGAAACACATTTAAAGAAAGAAAATCAAGAAACCTACCAACAATAACGAAATGAAACATTAAAAAATCTCCCTTGAAAGGAAAGCAGAAAAATTACAAATGAGAACAAGCTTTAAGTGGATCGTGGAAGCAGGTTGCCAAACCGCCAGCCTATCAGGGTTAATAGTCACGCTCCAACTGTTTGTGCCACTCAAAACTCCAAACCCGCTGCCAGGGAGCGGGTTCTGACTCAACAACCATCCAGGAGAGGGTAGAATTGCCTGTGCGGGTTTCCAAGACTGTGATGCTTTATGGGAGCAGAAAGCCATGTCTTCCTCCCATGGAGCGTCTGGTGGTTTCAAACCGCTGACCTTGCGGCTAGCAGTGGAATGCATAACCCACTCTGCCACCAGGGCTCCTCCCAGGGCCCCTTCAAGGGCAGCACAGTTGGTTCTGTGATATGAGGCGATGGTTAAGAGTAGTGTCCTTGTGGGCCCATGGCCCTGGGCCCAACAGAGCATATGGTGAAAGCTGTGAATTCAGAAAGGGGGTGTCGGAGAGGCCTCTGGGAGAAGCGGGGACTTGGCCATGGCTTTACCAGAGGGGTAGATTTGGAGAAGCTGGAGGTTAGATTTGGCGCCTGAGTCTTGGCTTCACCACGTCATGGCTTTCTGGACTTCTGTGGTAGTTTCCTAAGCTTCTGCTTCCTCCTCTGCAGAGTGGTCAAATGCCACAGCACAGTTCCCAGGAAGCAGACTGGGAGGAGGAGGGCATGTGCAGGAGGCCAATGTCAGTAGAAAAGGGAGGGGCTGTGGTGTGGACTCAGCAGAGGGAGAAGTCAAACTGCATGCAGCTGGCACCCACCCTCCCACCCCCCTGGGAGTCCTGGGGCTGGAAGGACCCTTCTGAAGGGTCTGGAGTTGGGGGCAGAAGACCAGCCCCAAGTCACTCACTCTTTGCATGTGAGCCACCAGGAAGGGGTGTGGCTGAGCCAGAGGCTCGGTTCAGCCAAGGGGATTCCCAAAGGGGCCAGCAGCTGAGCATTGTAGCTGGAAATGCTTGCAGACGTTACTATGAGGAGC